CTCTCTCATGGATGTTTCTAACTCTCTATCCCTCTCCCTTCCTCTCTGTAAAAAATCAATAAAATATATATTTTTTAAAAAAGAATAAGTGAATCTCCTTTGAATAGCATAAAAGATCTTGAGAGAGAGAGAGAGAGAGAGAGAGAGAGAGAGAGACTGAAATGGAAGAAAATTTAAGAGAGAAGCAACTGGGGTGAGCAATGCACTCAGACGCCCAAAATAAATGTCACTGCTCCAGCAAGCCGGACTAACAGGATGAGGGCTAGAATGCCGCTTCCCATTTCAGAATATTCTGGATAGCAGAGTTTATGAGGCTGTCATTTTGTGTAAGCTGATTTTTAAAGTATTTATCTAAACAGTGTATATTATTTATTTTTGGGTATTCAGGTCTAAGTTTAAAAACAAATTTTTTTTTTTGCCCTGCCAGTGTAGCTCAGAAGTTGAGTGTCCACCAATGGACCAGGAGGTCATAGTTCAACTCCTGTCGGGCACATGCCCCAGTTATAGGCTAGGTCCCCAGTAGGGGGCATGTAGGAGGCAGCCAATCAATGATTCTCTCTCCTCACTGATGTTTCTATCTCCCTCTCCCTCTCCCTCTCCCTTCCTCCCTGTAAAAAATCAATAAATTTTTAAATATATTTTATTGATTTCTTACAGGGAGGAAGGGAGAGGGAGAGAGAGTTAGAAACATCGATGAGAGAGAAACATTGATCAGCTGCCTCCTGCACACTCCCCGCTGGGGATGTGCCCGCAATCAAGGTACATGCCCTTGACCGGAATCGAACCTGGGACCTTTCAGTCCGCAGGCCGACGCTCTATTAGGCAGCTCCAAAGCGTTTAGGGCTAAAAAAAAAATGTTCTTAATTGGTTTTACAGAGAGGAAGGGAGAAACAATGATTTGTTGTTCCACTGATTTATGCATTAACTTGTTGATTCTTTTTTTTTTAATCCTCACGTGAGGATATTTATTTTAGAGAGAGAGGGAGAAGGAGAAAAACATCCACGTGGAAACAGAGAGCCTGTAGGCTCCAAGAGGCTGGGCTGTCTGAGGTGCTGCAGAGCTGCTTCCTGACCATGTAGTCCAAGGGCACTAAGGTCAACCCTATTCCAGGGGCACATGTCTCACGTGACCCACACGAACCATCTCATGGGAAGTCTAACCCTACACTGGACTCCACGTGTCTGACTCGGTTCCCCTGGGAGCAGCAATGACCTCACTGATTCAACTGCTGGGCAGGGTCGCCGGGGATTCGGGTCGGTGGGAGAAGCTGTGACATGGGACAGAAGTCCCTATAGTCGTGAGCCCAGGAGTGTGGAGCCCAAACTCCAATGGGATGGATGGATGTGTACCACAGTGGAGTGAGCCCTGGGCAGCATCTACCTTCTCATCCCAACACATGCCCTCTCTCTACAGCACAGAGGCCCAATGGCCCACCTGCTGCGACCTCATCTTCTCGGGGGCCTGGAGCCCCACTCCATGTGAACCCCAGTCGCCATCATCCATCTCCTAGCCCTCTTGCCCTCTGGTCCTCTCTCCACTAGCTCCTTCAACTCTGCCACCTTCAGGAGGCCTCCAGCCAACACCGGACACTAGAGTTTGAGAAGCGAAGCCATCTAGGAACTACTGGTGATAGAGGTTCTGAGAGTCCACAGCAAACATGTCAAACTCTCGGGCCGCATGCGGTTCACGACAAATATTTTTGCAGCCCAGCCAATCTAACGGTATGTAAGAAACATTTTAATAAAAATTTAATTTCCTGCCCTAACCGGTTTGGCTCAGTGGATAGAGCATAGGTCTGCAGACTCAAGGGTCCCAGGTTCGATTCTGGTCATGGGCATGTAACTTGGTAGTGGGCACATCCCCAGTAGGAGGTGTGCAGGAGGCAGCTGATCGATGTTTCTCTCTCATCGATGTTTCTAACTATCTCTCTCCCTTCCTCTCTGTGAAAAATCAATAAAATATATTTTTAAAAATAAAATAAAAATGTAATTTCCTAACTTAATTTTTACAATATTCTGTTGTGCATAATTATTAATAACGAACTACAACATTCGCTAATGACTGATGACTATAATCGCCTTACATGTAGGCACACCATTTCTCTGCACTAATAGTAGCAGCGAATATTTTAGCAGCGGATGGCCACCTCATTAGTCTTGGACTGACTTGTTGGGTGTGCGCAACACGAAATATTTCGCTTTCAGAGAACCAGAAAAAGAGGTTTATTTGTGTGACGCTTATGAATTTGTGCTGTTAGTCAGTGTCTGGTAAGTTAATGTTCAAGGAAAAAAAACTAATTTTTATTAAAATGTTCTATTATTTTATGTTAACAATTACTCATTTATTTCAGCCCTTTGTATTCGGCATGTTTCTGTCAAAATAAACCTATGTTTCTATGAAAATTGAAGCTTTTTGTTTGTTTGCGGCCCACATAAAGTTAAACCTTGTTTATTTGGCCCGTGTTAGCCTTTGCGTTTGACGTGCTTGGTCTACAGAGCTTTGGGGAGGTGGCTAGCGTCTACCTCTTCCAGCCTCCTAGTCAGAGAAGAATAGCATCAAGATCATCATCATTAATGGCAACAACAAAAAATTATCAATAAGCCCTAGCTGGTCTGGCTCAGTGGATAGAGAATCAGCCTGCGGGTTTGATTCTGGTCAGGGCACCTGCCTGGGTTGCGGGCTCAATCCCTAGTAGGAGACGTGCAGGAGGCAGCCGATCAATGATCCTCTCTCATCATTGATGTTTCTATCTCTCTATCCCTCTCCCTTCCTCTCTGAAATCAATAAAAATCTATTAAAAAATTATCAACAATAAAAACATCAATAACAAGAGCAGCCGTAATAAGAGGATGAGCAATGACAGCAACGAGAGGTAAGAGCAGGGCCAGCTAATTCATACAGAACCCAGTTATGTCCCAAGCATTCCACATACCTCACTTCTCTTCATCCAAATGAGGTAGGTCTTGTCCACGTTTTGTAAGAGAGGAAGGAAGGCACAGAGAGGTTGAGTAATTCACCTAAGATCACACAGCTGGTGAGACATAAACCCCTGAGGAAGTAAAGAGAAGCAGACAGAAATGTGGTCACATTCACTGAGTCCCCACAGGGCGAGCCAACTCTGCTCTGGAAATGTTCCCCACATCTGACACCGGGACAGTTTCCCTGAAAACTTTGCATTCCTGGCGAATTTCATAGGCATCTCACCAGTATGAGTCCTCTGGAGCCGGGTGCCCCAGGGGATATCCCTGAAAAGTGTCTGACACTGGTAACAGCTACAGAGCGTCTGGCCAGTGTGAATTCTCGGGTGCTGGATGAGGCAGGCGCTGTCAATGAAAGTTTTCCCACGCTGCTTGCACAGGTAGGGTTTCTCCAAAATGCATTTTTTTGCCGCACAATCCCGTGAGGATTTTCCCACAATCCATACACATGGGGTTTCTCTTCACTGTGTATTTTCTGATGGACAATAAAGTGGAAGCAATCTGGGAAGGACTTTTCACACTAGTTACATTTGAACGTTTTTTTTCCTCCAGTGTGAGTTCTGTGGCGCCAAACAAGGGAAGGACCCAGCAGGGTGGCTCAGTGGTGGAGCCTCGACCCATGAACCAGGAGGTCAAGGTTTGATTCCCGGTTGGAGCACATGATTCCCGGTGGGGGGCCTGCAGG